ACTTCCGTAGTGATACTGCCTCGGAAACCCAAGGAGGGGTCGCTATGAGTCGGGGCCGACTCGACGGCACATAACAACAACAACTACTATTTTGAATTCCCACTACTTGAGAGGAGGACTTAGCCTCTTTTTTTATTATCTTCCTTAATTTTAGTCCTTCCTGATATAATAGAGAATTTCTGCCCAAGTGTATTATTTTGATTCATTAAACAGTAAGTCTCTTGTTTATAAAAATATCTTTGACATTTATAACTAATTTGTTAATCAATTTTACATATTATTTAAGACTTCATGAGTTTCACTGGTTGTATTACTTACTCCTGAAAATTAGGCTACATGATTCCCATTACTTATTTATTAATTTCTATTCATGTATAGGATATATGGAGTATAACTTAAACTAACTTCTTCAAGAAGATTACATGGAAATATGTTCCTGCATTTTTGTGTATTCCAAATATGTGAATAGTAGTTATATTAACTATTGGCTAAACAATTTTCTTTTTGGTTAAAAAAATTCTTTGAAATTTTTAAAGCTATTTTAAATTTTATTTTGGAATTATATGCTTCAAAACACAGATATAAATTTTACTTGTCTGGGAAAGATATTTTCTTTATTGATGTTGTTAGTTGTTAGGTACTGTCGAATCTGCTCCAACTCATAGCAACCCTGTGTACAACAGAATGAAACATTGCCCAGTCCTGGGCCAGCCTCACTATCTTTGCCATACCTGAGCCCATTGTTGCAGTCACTATATCAATCCATCTTGTTGAGGACCTTCCCCTTTTTCACCGATCCTCCACTTTATCAAGCATGATATCGTTCTCCAGGGAATGATCCCTTCTGACAACATGACCAAAGTAGGTGAGAAGAAGTCTGGCTATTCTAGCTTCCAAGGGAAATTCTGGCTGCACTTCTCCCAGAACAGATTTGATAGCTCTTCTGACAGTCCATGGTTCTTTCACTATTCTTGGCCAACACCACAGCTCAAAAGCATAAACTCTTCTTTAGTCTTCCTTACTCATTCTTCAACTTTCAAATGCGTATGAGGCGACTGAAAACATCATGGATTAGGTAAGGTGAACCTTAGTCTTCTAAGAAATATCTTTGCTCTTCAGCTCTTTAAAGAGGTCTTTTACAGCAGATTTGCCAGTGCAAAATGTCATCTGATTTCTTGACAGCTGCTTCCATTGGTGTTGATTATGGAAACAAATAATATGAAATCTTTGAGAACTTCAATCTTTTCTCCATTTATCATGATGCTGCTTATTGGTCTAGTTGTGAGGATGTTTTTTTTTTTCTTTATGTTGAGGTGTAAGCCATACTGTAAACAATAGTCTTTAATCTGAAAATGCTTCAAATCATCTTCACTTTCAGCAAACAAGTTTGTGTCATCTGCATATAGCAGGTTATTAATGAGTCTTCCTCCAATCTTGATGCCAAGTTCATCTTCATATAGTCCAGCTTCTGGATTATTTGCTCAGCATACAGATTGAATAAGTATGGAGAAAGGACACAATCCTGATACACTCCCTTTCTGATTTTAAACCATGCAGTATCCCCTTGTTCAGTTCAAACAACAGCCTCCTGGTCTGTGTTCAGTTTCCTCATGAGCACAATTAAGTGTTCTTAAATTCCCATTCTTTTCAAAGTTGTCCATAGTTT